GGAATTTTTCTATGCTTTTGTCCTTTCCATTTGGAGAAAATAAAAGACGGTGGCGACTCTTGCTTCCACGATATTTCGCGAACCAGCATTAAACAGTCAGTTCCAGATCCACCGATCACACATCCCTTACCAACATCTTCTTCTAGACGCACTCCCACATTCACCTCGTCAGGAAAGTCATTAGGTGCATTAACCATCACCTTCTCATGAGAGAATGATTTTAGAGTTTCAGTGAAGACTTTTATCATTGCTTCCTCCATCCTAGAAGGATTGACTTGGGCGGTAACCAAAATTTCAACCCAAAACAGTCGAGTGATCCATACCAGCTTTCAAAATAGTCATCTCTCTACGGAGTTCAGAAACCTCTTGCTTGATATTCTCCATTATTTTCTTAGCGCGAGTGTTGTACTGGTGAGACCAAAGGAAAAATAAGACTCGGAAAAAGACCTTTGACAGTGAAACAAAAAATGTAGAATGATGTATGATATGCAAAAAGAGAGTTTTTATTTGATTTTCAAGGAACTCAAGATATTAAGTTGTAAACATCAAAGTATGAAGATAGAAGATGGATTTTAAATTGGCTCCAAACATTGATCAAGTTATCATCAAGATCAATCATCCATTTTGGTGGATTAGGGTTTTCGCCCTATCAACACCCAAGATCCATTGAGTTTGACGAAACTTGTGATGTTTACAAAGAAAGACCTCCAAATTCCTTCAAAGTCAAGTGAAAAGGGTTTTATGGATGCATGAATGTATGGCTATGCAACAACCACAAGCAAGGTCACAAATAAAGTCGAAAGGTTCAACGTCACGAGCATGGAGTCAAGGTAAGGAACACCCCCAAGGTATGTACTAACGGTTTAATCACACCTGTAGAACAAGGTTCTAAGAGTTCCCGGAGTCTGCTGGGGACTATCTTTTAAAGTGAGGTGTACCTTAGGACTAAGATCACTTGTGTTTTCAATTGTCTGAATTGTTTGCTTTAAATTGTGGGCCTGTCTTGGGAGTTCTATAGATCCTAACCCGGATCTGGGGATACCTTCTTAGAAAGTAGCAACAAGACTGTGAGGGAACTGTGCGGGGTATACCGACATGGTTGAAGCAGTCTGCTACGTTGATGTGGCACTTTGGTGTGTACCGGTAACCCTTGAGTTCAGTCAAGGAGAGTACGGGGCCTCCGCGTGGTGTCGTGAAGCATCAAAAGACCTTAGGAACCTTAATTGAACTATCTTGGCCTCTTTAGGGTAGTGAGATAAATGACTTTGGTGCATTCCGAGGTTGGTTGATACTCGATACTACACTCAATTGAGGGTTCCTTTCCTGGAATATTTCGGTCGCCAGTTCAGTGGCTAAATCGAAACGATGAACAATGAAAGCAATCCGGTGATATTGGGATCCTTAGAACCCGGTTACTTCTAATAGGACAGGTTGAGCCCACCAACTTCAAGAGGGTAATACCCAGACCCCATGCTGGCCTAAACTCTAAGGGCTTGTCGTGTATGACTTGTGTTCCTTACATGTTTGCCTTTGTAAATATCTGTGGTGTGTTTAATCATAGCATCATGACATCATGCAGCATCATATGCATTGACTAACCATTTCAGGGGTTCGAATTTTCATCTTTGTTCTTGTTTTGTAGGACATGGAAACTGTTCGCAGAAAGACAATTCAAATCATCCTTGTAAGGATTCCTCCTCAGCTTAAGGAGCTTATATCCAGAATTCCCGAGAGCTCTTCATTCAGTGAAAGACATGGAAGACTCATCAGCTTGGTCAATACACACATTGAGGAAGATATGATAAAGGTCCTGTTCCAGTTCTTTGACCCTCTGCATCACTGTTTCACTTTCCTGGATTATCAGCTGGTACCTACATTGGAGGAGTTCTCCCGGCTCCTGAAGATCCCTATCCTTGATCAACTACCCTACAACGGTACGGAAAAGGAACCCAAACTTGAAGAGATTGCTAAAGCCTTACACCTACAATCATCTGACCTCAAGGGACATCGGGAAGTTAGAAGTGGTATCAAAGGGTTCTTAGCCAGGTTTCTGTTTGAAAAGGCCTATGAATGTTGGAACTCCCTTGATTTACAAGCTTTTGAAGAAGTTGTGGCCCTCCTTGTCTATGGTTTGGTGTTGTTCCCTAACCCAGATCAGCTTATAGATATTAGTGTTGTCCAGATCTTCATGTCCAGGAATCTCATACCTACATTGCTGGGGGACATCCTTCACTCATGTTACACTCGAACCATGAGAAAAAGAGGTGTCCTTATGTGCTGCACTCCTCTCCTGGGAAGGTGGTTTATTTCGCACCTTCCACAATCAGTCTTGAAGAACGAGCGGGGTTTGAGATGGTCACAACGGTTGATGACTCTTACACATGCAGATATACATTGGTGCCCTCGGTCCAGAGAGGATGTCACTATCATTGATCGTTGCGGGGAGTACCCTAATGTTCCTTTACTTGGAATCAGAGGAGGTATTACTTATAGCCCATGCCTGGCTTGGAGACAATTTGGTTATGCTCGGAGGGATGGCCCTCATGACATGTTAATTCCTGACATAGTTTTTAACTTCGACAACGATGCACAAGGACTTCGCCAGAGATTTATCAGAGCTTGGAGGATGCCCAGTAAGATAGACAGTAAGACACTGGGGCACAGGAATTCCATCCCATTGGAACCTTATCTCAAGTGGGTACGGGCCCGCTCCCAGAAGTTAATAATGCCTTATCCTCATGTGCTCCCTGTGATCAAAGAGCCAGTCTTGGAAGGAGAGTTGTCCTACACCATTCAACATCCTGACATGCCCACGTCATGGGAAGAGATGCAGAAGAGCTGGATCCAGCTTAAGGAAGAACGGAATTCTCTCGAGACCAGTCTACATGCTAGTGAAAAGAAGGTCTTGGAGCTCACCCGCCTATTGCACGAGGAGAGGAATCTCAACACCTACATAGCTCCAAAGAGGATGCGTAGTGTCTTTTGGGATTGATTTGCTTTTGTAATATGTGCCCATGAGGCTTTGATGTACTGAACAATTATTTCCTTAATGATAACGTGTGTTCCCTTTTGTCTACAACAAACTTGAACTTTCGAACCCTTGAATGCATTGCATAAACACATATCATTCATCATGTGCATAACAGGTTTTCTTCTTTTCAGGTTGCTTACTGTTCTTCGCTGTTTATTTCAGCATCATGAATCCTGACTCATCATCAACCGAGATGTCTATCAAGGCTCTTCAGACGCAGAACGCGCAATTTCAGGAACTGATCATGGGTTTGGCTCAGGGCCAAGAAGAGCTGAAGGCTTTGCTCCTGAAGAAGGAGAAGAAGAAGAAGAAGAGAACTGTTCTTTTCAACTCGGGCCGAAGGTTTGGAAACACTCTGCAGAATGAAGAGGCTGGTTCTTCTATAGGCAAGAGCAGTCCCCAAGGGGGAAAAGGTCCTAGTCCGGTAGTCTCTGACAACGAGACTGATTTCGATGAGGAACAGTATCCTCCGGCTGAAGACCAATATAAGCAGTTGGAGGACAGACTGAATGCTATGGAGATCCAACAAGTGCCTGGGCTGGATTTTGGAGACTTGGGCTTATCTACTGGTGTGATTATTCCTCACAAGTTCAAAGCACCATTCATTTGGATAAAAGATGGGTATGGACGAGATTTTTGAAGATACGACGACCTAGTGTCGAAGTTTTGACTTAAAAGGTGTGAGTTTAAAATTGAATCTTTTGGGAAAATTATCTTAGGTTTAACAAAATAGTAAACAAACAAAAGATGAATAAGAGTATTCGCACGATTGGATGAGATGTGTTTGATGACATGAAGTCAGCTGAGTTGAAAAATTTCCCTTGGAATTAATCATAAGCAGGTAGATCTAATATTCTAGTAAGAAATCATAAATAATTAAAATCCACGAGAAACGGACAAGGTAGATAACAAGATAAATTGTAAGAAACTAAATGAATGGACAAAGAAGAATCATGAATAGAAGAAAAGTGTAATTAAAAAAAATTATCTAAACTAATTTGAAATTCTAAGGTTACTAAGTAAACTAAACTTAAATTCTAAGGTGTCTAACTAAATTAAATAAAATTTTGAAGTTATTAACTAAAACTAAATTAAAACCCTAGAGTTACTAACAAAAATTCAAAAGTTATTAAATTAAATCTAAAATAAATTAACACTCTAATATTACTGAATTAGGTCTAAACTAAATTAATTCTAAAGTTGCTAAATTACATCTAAACTAGTTTAAGTATAAACTAAATTCATTATAAAATTACTAATTTAATCTAAACTATATTAATAATAAAATTACTAACTTAAATCAAAACTAAATTAATTCTAAATTAAAGATTAAAATTCTAAGATTAGATTAAAATTCTAAAGTTATCAAAATGTATCTAAACTAATTGGAAGTTCTAAAGTTATAAAATAGATCTAAACAAATTAAAATTTTTAAGTTATCAAAATATACCTAAACTAATTAAAAGGTTCTAACATTACTAATTTATATCTAATTAAATTAAAATTCTAAAGTTATTAATTATGATTCTAAATATTTTAAAGTTATAAAATAGATCTAAACAAATTAAAAATTCTAAATTAATACTAAACTAAATCTAAATATAAGATTTACTAATATTTTTTATATATTTTTTTTTATCTCTAAAACCTAATAAAATATGAAATAGAAAAAATAAAACACACTGGGATGGCAGATGGATGCAACGTCCCTTTGTTGCATCTCTACATCAATTGTTTAACCCCTTAACGACCTAATTACAAGGTGACACATGGACATATTTTTATATTTTTATTAATAAAATAAAACAACAACAAATGAACATAATAATAGAGAAAATCATAAAACACAAACCCATTTTCAGCATACCCGTTTTCTCTTCCTCAGTCTAACATTCTGCTTCTTCTTTTCCTGCATACCCATTTCTTTTCTTCCTCAATCTAACGCCTGGAAGTGGATGACGTCTCCGATCTATGGAAGAAGGTTGGTGGTAACTCCAGGTTGGCAGGATAAGCGTGGTGTTTGGTGGAAAGAGGTTGGTGAGATATCTGAACGGAACAGAGGTGATGATAAGCGATTGGCGATAGTAGATGGAGGATGGTGTTGCAAGTGAGTTGATGGTGATGTTCGTTGGGCTCTGGCAGGGGAAGGTGAAAATGTGAGTACGGCAGTGGCGGTTGCGACAGAGAAGACTGCTGCTCCGGCGATGTTTTTGAGGTGGTGAAGAACGGGGGAGTTGGAACTGTGGGCTTTGACGGTGAATCGAGGGTGGCAAGGAAGAATGAGGAGATCCCGCGTTCTGAAAACGAGACGTAACTGATCCTTTGCCATTGACTTGATCCAAATCATTTTTTTTTAGATTGTCATGCTTATCAAAAGCAAAATCAGAATGAGGTGAACCCAACGTTATCTCTGGCTGTTGGCTTAAAGACTGAAGATGTTCATCACACTGGATGAGCTTTTCAAAATGCTTGTGTTGTACCCCAAAATTTGCCCTCCCATATTCTTCAAGAAATTACCAAGACAAGCTTCAAAAATTCCCCAAGGGTTGCACAGTCCAAAGATCTCCTATACAGTCAAAACTAGGGTTTGTGTTCTGATCAGGAAAATAATGTTTTCAAGGGCCCAATCAAGTCTCATATGCCTACAAATATGGTCAAGCATCCTCATATCAAGTTTCAAGGCATTCAGCTCAAAATTGCACAGTCAAAACCCTAAATTGCACTACAGTCAACTGTAGGGGCAAAATGGTCATTTGACAGTCAAAAGTTCAAATTTTTGGTCAACATATCATTTTGAAGCCACAAACATCATTTGATCAATGCTTGATCATGATTCTCAAAATTTGGCTCAGAAATCATCAAAGATGCAAAAGTTTCCTTATTTGGACAACTGAAAAAGTCAACTGAAATTGACCAGGGCATAACTTTCACATGGATTATCAGAAAAATTCCATCCAAAGCTCATTTTTAAGAGAAAGACATTTCCTACAACTCATCTTCATACTTCAAGTCCAAGAAATTCTCTCACAAAAAGTTATCAATTTCAACATTATAGGTCATTTTCAAAAGTCAACAAAAAGGGACTTTAAGTCACAGGCCATAACTTGAGATTGGTAAATCAAAATGACATGGGACCAAAGGCATTGGTTAGAGGACTCAAAGACCTTTCCAAAATGTCCAAGAACATGAGAAAAGCTTAAATATTGAGCAAGTTATTCCTTGTGGAAGTTGGGAAATATTTGGATATTTTGAAAAGTCAACATTACTTCAAATGACCTAAAATTGCTAATGGGCCCATTTTTCTTCCATGATTCATCATTCCAAGCATGTGCACGACCACTTGGCCCAAAGGGGAGTATTTTCTCATTTTTTATTTATTTATTTGAATTATTATTCATATTAATTCATTTAAATTATATAAATATGTGAAAAATATCTAACATGACCTAACCAATCTTTTTATGCATGTTTGATACTCAAGATTTCGTGTACAACTAAATAGGGAAAGATTTGGACTAATTGGATCATGATTTGCACAAGAACATGTGAAAAAAAGATATGAAAATAATGGTGGAAAATCAAATATTGAAATCAATGAATGAAAAAGATTTTGGCCAGTTTTGTTGACCTAATAGCTTCACTACAAAGCCAGGAACACAAACCTAATCGTGCTACACCCTAAGCTGCGCAGAAGAACAAGATACAAACTTGGAAATTTGGCTTAAGAACTCAAAACTGAAATCATTGATAGAGGGCGATTCAAAGCTTAAATTTGATTCCAATAGCTTGCTCAAGGTCTATTGAGTGTATTCCAATCAGAATCATCCCTCTAAACTCCAAGAACTGGTAAAACGAACCTCAATTGTGTCAAAAAATTTCCAGAATCGGGCATCATAATTTATGCATACTTTGCCATTTTGATTCATTGATTCATGTTTGTTATGAGTTTCTGATGCTAACCATACAGTTTGATTGCGTTTTTGTGCTATATACGTGATGTTGCCATGAATGCAGTCTAGGGTTTCTTGAGCTCCCAATTAGGGATTCTCTTATCCTGTAAAATTGAGACACAATAGTACCATGATCAAAACCAGGAAGCTTGGACGAAGTGATTGCAATGGTCGCGCCAAATTTCTGAACCAAGGCGTGCTAATCGCTATTTTGAAAACAAGCGTGTATTGAGGGGGTTCAAAACCCCCGTTAAAGGTTTATTATTTTTTCAGGAGGAATGAAACAATGGAGAAGACGATGCCATGTCAAGCATGGATTGGCTCATTCAAAATTCCGCGCCAGAAATCCATTAATTGCCATATTTGCATTATATTTATTATTTGTTATTAATATATCAAACGCGTGCTTCAGTTCAGTTGGCAAGCGAAGGGAGTATCAACGTCCATGACCTGGGTTCAAGTCCCAGGTCTTGCATATTTCAAATATTATTTTTCTATATGTCATCCCATGCAGATTCAGCGCTAGCGACCACCATGCGTCTCCCCAATCCAACTTGCCACGTCCACTCAGAGATCAACCTAAAGGCTGAGATTGAAGGGACATCCTAAACCCCAGTCAACGTGCCATATTGCATCTGGAAAAAGTCAATGGATCAAAGCTTGCTGGGCCAGATTTGCTTGGACAATACCTCCACTTTAGGGCCTGAACCCCCCCTGGTTTGCTTTCTCTATATTTTTCTTATTTTATTTTTAATTGCTATTTTATTTTCTTTATTTGTTTTAATGAATTAATTTTTTACAAAATACAAAACACATAAAAAAACTCAAAAAAGACAAAATATAATAAATAATATCTATTTTCATATTTTCTTATAAATAATTGTATGTAATTTAATTAATTTAAATTAGGTTTAATTTTATTTCTTTTCACAATAAAAATATAAAAAATATAGACTTAGGTTTAATAAATTTTATTCCTTTCAATTTTTCTTTTTTTTAATAATAATATTACTTATTTTATTTTCATAATTAAATTGTACATAAAAGAATTTAGGATTAATTTAGGTTATATTTTAATATTTTCATAACAAAACTTAAAAACCATTTGAATTAGGGTTAGTTAATTTCAATTAATTCTCTTTTTCTTTTAAATCTTAAAAAACACAAAAATACCAAAAATATTTTCTTTAATTTTAATTTTAATTCCTTATTAATTTAATTTTTTGCGAAAGGGTCCAACGCCCTCGTTTCGATAATTCTTATTTAATTTCGCATATTTATTTTATACCGCTTAAATAATTATGTACCTCTCCCAAAGCCATGTAACTCGGACAATTTAACTTTTTCGCACTTTTATTCGCTTTATTTATTTTCCGTCAAATCGGGTCCGGTTTAATTTTGGCGATGTGGACCCGCGCCATTTGTAATAGCTTAGAATTTACTTTCCCGCAAATATTAATTGTTAAATAAGCATGAAAGAATGAATGGACATAATAAAATCAAGCGTAGATCACTTTAACATGACAAGACAAAAATCAATGAAAACGACACACAAATCACACACCACCCCTAGGGTACGCCTCACTGTTGCCTTGCCTTCGAAAGGTGATCGTCGAGTAGAGGACGTCTTAGTAAGTCCTCATGATCCGGGAACCTGGCATGAGGGTAGCTTCTAAGGTGTCTTCCCGTTGCTCTGGTGATCACCATGTCCCTACAAACTCGAATTGACCCGAACACCTCCAACGGTGGTGCTACCTACCTCTCAATGGTGGGATGGCACTACTTTAAAGGACTTTTACACAGACGAATTCCTTAGGGTAGGTAGGTTCTCAAGGATACTTGCTCTAATTTCAAACAAAAATACTTTTCACACCAACACATTTTCAAAAGCTTTCAAAGCAATTTTTTCAAACACTCTGACGTACGAGTCGAACTGAAATTTTTCAAAGAAACTTTTTAAAACCCACAATTGAAAAGCAAACAAACATTTTTGAAAACAAAAATGAGCAAGTATCTAAGAGCCCATGGATAACCATGGATAGAAAGGGTGCTAACACCTTCCCTTTCTATAACCTACCTCCCGAACCGAGAGCAATCTCTTTAAGTAATTTTTCTGTGCTTTTGTCCTTTCCATTTGGAGAAAATAAAAGACGGTGGCGACTCTTGCTTCCGCGACATTTCGCGAACCAGCGTTAAACAGTCAGTTCCAGATCCACCGATCACAGAACTGGCGACTCTGCTGGGGATATCTTATAAAGTGAGGTGTACCTTAGGGCTAGGTCATAACTGTGTTTTCACTTGTATTGATTTGCTTGCTTTACTATTGTGGGTTGCATCGGTTACATAGATCCTAACCCGGATCTGGGGATACCCTGTTTAGGTAGCATAAGCTGTGAGGGACCTGTCCGGCGTAGACCGACACAGGTGAAGCAGTGGCGACGTTGGTGTGGCACCTTAGTCTGTACCGATATCCCTTGTGTCGCAACGAGGAGAATATGGGTCTTCTAAGGAGTCATTAAGCACCAACAACCTTAGAACCTTAATTGACACAACTTGGCCATTAGAACAGTAGCAGTATGCTACGCCCATTGAGGCTAAACTCTCGCGATGGTTCTGGCTGCAAGAAAAGATTGCGATGCTGGAGTTATGACCGATTGAGGGTAGTCAATGATATTGGGATCCTCTAAGAACCCGGTTACTTTTGATAGGACAGGTATGAACCAACAAACTGAAAGAGGGTAATACCTAGACCTCATGCTGGCCTAAACTCTAAGGGCTCTTTTGTGTGACTTGTGTGCCTTCGTACTTGCCTACTTGCATGCTTGTTAACTAACACATGAACTACTTGCAGGTTTTGTTTTAGTCCTTAATTGGGACACATGACAGGGCTTACTAAGTTTCTTGCAGGTTTTGTTTATAGTCCTTAATTAGGGCTTATAACAGAGTGTACTGAGTTTCTTGCAGACTAGTTTCTTGCAGGTTTTGGTTTGCAGTCCTTAATTGGGACTCATAACAGGGTTACTCACATTACCCCATGCATAACATAACATCATACCATTGCATACATCCTAACCCATTTCAAGGATCTCAAGGGCTTGTGATGCAGGTCATGATGAATCAAACACCTAGCAAGGGGCAAAGAGGATTTATTTTCCTCTAGCCAAAGTTGTCAGGGGCTATGACCCACTTGATATGGTGAGCTCTGACTCCTGAAGAAGGTTCCCCTAACCAAGGTTGTTTGGAAACCAAAACTAGACATGATGGCTAAAGTCAGGGGCTATGACCCACTGGATATGGTGAGCCTTTGACCCTTGAAGAAGGGCTCTCAACAACATGCAGTTCCTTCAATCAAGCTACCGGACCCAAGTTCTAACAATCTTCTTGTTTACCCCGCGAG